GTAAGTGTTATGTGTCTGCCTGGTTCTAAACCTTCAGCAAGTTGTCTAAGCATCAATTTGGCTGAGAGGGCCTGGTATAGTCTGCTCTTCTACTTTCAAGTCCAAAGCAGGGAAGGGATGGTCATCTATGAAAACTCTGGTATTGTAGAAGGCCTCATGACCACCATTCATGCAATACTGCTACCCAGAAGACCTGTTGGTGGCCTGTCTGGCAGATTGTGGCATAATGGGCATATGCTGCCTCAAACATCATTCCCGCTTCCAATGGTGCCTCTAATAAGGCTGAGGCCAAGGTCATTCCAGAGCTTAATAGACAGGTTAAAGGTAGCCTTCCGTATTCTTATTCCCAATATATTTGTTGTTGATCCGAACTGGAAAAATCTGCCATATGTGATGTTATCAAGAATGTGTTGTATCAGAGGGGCCCTTGAAGGGCACCTTAGGCTGTTCAGAAGACCACGTTAGGGCAGAACAGCCACTGTCTTCTTTTGATGTCTGACTTGCTATTATCGCCCTTCATGACCACTTTGTCAAGCTCATTTCCGGCTATTACAATGAGTATGTTTATGGCAGTTGCTTAGTAGACCTCACGGTCCCCAAGAAATAAACTAGAAAGCCACAGATCTTAGTCCCCAGCAAAAAGAAGAATCCTACCCCAGGGGAGTCCTCATCCCCAACTCTTTACCCTGTACTAAGGATCACACACCCCAAGGCACCCCTGTAATAGAAGGGAAAAGCAGAGTTTCCAGAGAAAGTCAATACTGTATTCAGTGCAAATAAAATAAAATACAAAGGATTACAAAAGGAAACCAATAATGTTGAAATACAGTTATGAACAGATTAAAAAAAAGATCCCAGGTCCTAGGTTGAGAACCCTTGGTGTTCTGGGTGTCTGTAAGCTTTCTTCTGTTGGGGCGGGGCGGGGAGGGGGGGGAGACTGGACTATGTGCCCTCCCAGGGCCCTAACTCGGAGATCCTATGGTTTCTAAAACAATCGGGGCCGGAATGGAGCTCAAGAGGTCGGCCAGCCTGTCACTCCACACCTCCTCTGCCTACAACCTCATTTGCAAATTGAATGGCATTTTCTCCCCCCTCACCATTCAGGCCTTTAAAGAAACATCAAAGAGGCTAATCTCATGACCCTCCCTCCTGAGGCAGATGGGACACCCCGTATTGTTACCCCACTATGGGAGCAAATGAAAATGAGGGTGAGAAGCACTTTCTCAAAGTGACAATGGATGCTTTCATTTCAGAGATTAGTATTTATAGCCATTCGAGTCTGATCTAGCTTCTTGCGTACACAGCTGATAAAGGCATTGTGGACATAGTCTAGTCTCTGTGATTCAGAGAGGAGTTTGGTTGTGCAGGAAAGAAGCATAGGGGTTGCTGTATATAACCTCCTCTCCAAAGCCCTGTATTCTGTCCCAAGAGACTGAATGTCAGAGGTGGGAGAGGCCTTAGAACACAGGATGTCAGAGGTGGGAGAGGCCTTAGAACATAGGATGTCAGAGCTGGGAGGGCCCTTAGAACACAGGATGTCAGAGCTGGGAGGGCCCTTAGAACACAGGATATCAGAGCTGAGAGGGCCCTAGGGACACAGGATGTCAGAGCTGGGAGGGGCCTTAGAA